GCAGAATCCACAAGGCTTTGAGCATAGATCAGGGAGGATGCTTGTTGGCTGAATTCATGTGAACAAACAGTAACAGGTAACCATATTGGGATGGTGAAAACAGAGTGAGTTGGGTTCAGCTTGGACTTTATTCTAAGAGTAATCAAGAGCCATTGAAGGTTTCTGGGGCAACTGGGGATATTTTAGAAAGGTTCCCCTGGCAGGAACTTGCCGGATTGCAACAACTTTAGGAATATTTAGAGAATAAAAGAAACCATCGACAGAGACTCAAGGTTGTTAGATGGCTATAGGGCTGGTCCAAGCAAAAGTAACAAGGCTTTAAGCTGATGTGAAAACAAACAAAAACAAGAAAAAACAAAAAAAAGGGACAGACAGACAGACAGCCATGAGAGAAGTCACCAAAAAAACTAGCAGACACTTGTGCCCTGCTGGATGTGAAGGGTAAGGAATAAATCCCCTATAACTTCAAGTGTTTGAACTGAGCAGCACTAGAATAATGCCGTTAATAAAATATGAAAATCAGAAGTGGAAAGATCTCCAGTGTGGGGCATGCCGGAGGCAGCCGATCAATGATTCCCTTTTCTGTCATTACAGGATGTGCCATTTTGACTCAGAAGTGAGAGCAGATGATGAACGTCAGGAAAGGCAAAGAAACCATGATGGGCTTCAGTTCAGCTTACTGAACTTAAGGCAATGGTGGGACAGAGTTGGAGAAATGTCCACTTTAGGTTAAAGAACATTCAGAGGGTACAGGCATATTGTTGGAGGCTAAATGTGCCAGGGTCCAGCCCCAGTGGGCCAGGGGTTCCCAAAGGTGTGGACGGAGTCGGCAAAGAATGATATACACGGAGACAGAGTTCAGATGATCAGCATAGCTCTCTTTAGTCTTCGTGGATCTTCCTGTGCCTGGCTGAGGCCAAGAGAAAGATCCAGCGGCAAGCTGAGCCTTTATTTTATAGTCAGAGGTAAACAAGGTAGTGGTTACCATAGTTACACTGTTCTTGTGAGTTTCACTTGTTTGGGCCATTTCCTGTACCTCCCTCAGCCCATTAGCTTCCCAGATAAGATCTAGGGAGCGTCATAAGGTCAAGCCTAATTATGCTAAGAGGACTGTGGCCTCTAAGCTGGGACTTGTTTGTGACTTTGCCAACAGGTCAGTCTGAGGCTTAACCCCATCGTTGCTCCCCACATAAATGGAGTGCTTTCTTTGGTGCTCCTGGTTACCTTTCTTGAGCTCATTCTAGTGCCAAGGGCCTAGGACTCTCACCTTCCCCTTTCTTCTCCCTAGAAGATCCCCATTGAGAAGATCTATTTGAGTGTCCTCCCTCACCAGACTTCTTCCCAGATTAGCAGGAAGTCACTGAACTCCAGGCAATTAGAGTACCCCGCTCTCTACTATATCCCAGTGTCTTCTGGTCTGGCCTTGAATCCTCCGCTCTGCTCCCCACAATGAGATTGGGCTTGAGCCATATCCCTACATCATGACTGAAGAGTTCTCAAGACAGTGCACTGTACTGACCAGCCAAGTTTGGCTCCCAACTGAGCCACATGTCCCTGCTCTGGAACGTCTCACACTAGTTAGCAGATCAGGGATCAAGCCTTGGCCCTCCCCCTGCTATCTAACCCTCCAAACTGACAGCAGAGATCAAATAAATGTTGTACATCAATTATGTCTGACTAAAGATATCACATACACTCAACCCAATGGGTGGACTGGGGGAATGAAGTTCTACAGGAATGCTTCTAGTTGTTCGTCAGGGCTGGGGGCAGATTCCCTGACGCTGCTACAATCAGTCTTATCAACAACAGAAATTTCTGGAGAAATAAGATGTTGGGGGCAGAGAGGAGGGGGTGATGGTGACAACAGTGTGTGTGTGTGTGTGTGTGTGTGTGTTGTGTGTGTCCATGTAAAGGTGCATGCACTGAACTAGCAGGCTTTTCATGACAACCGAGGTGGATAAGGTCCCACATGGATCACAAGACTAGAGTCAGAATAGGAATATGAAAGAATGTGAAACACTCGGGCAAAAATGGAAAAACACAGTCACCGGGTGGAAAGAAACAACCCAGGTCAGGGAAGGTGGGATTCCAATGGACATTCTAGCTACCAGTACTGCGAGTCCTGTACCTCACAGCTTGTGTATGAAATTCGGCCTCCCCTCTGAGCAGGCCTTGAATACTAATAGTTGAATGAATGGTGATGATATGGCACCATCTGAAGGCTTGTCGTGCTCAGTTGAAGCCAATAATTGCTCAAATGGTTTATGGTTTTTATTGATATCACTGCTCTCCCCTTTTCGATCTAAATTTCCTTCCCCAAAGGTATCTACACTGTAAATTACAATTGCTGAAAGAGGGCAATATTTAAGCCAAGGAATAACGTGCATGATGAAAGCATTGGGAGAAGAAATTTAGGGACATTCAATCCTATAAGTATAATTGTGGCGTTCTGAAAAGGCTTCATCTCCCTGGATATACCTTGTCTTCATCACCAGGCTTCTCAAGACACCCTGCATCCGACTGTGGGAGAGCTGCATGTTCAGCATTACCTAATTTCCTCATAAATCTCTTGCCTTTTAATCAGCTAAGTGGCTATCTGCCGAATTTCCATGATTTATTGACATCTTATGAGGGCTGAGGATACGTCCAGATACTAAGTGATTAAATGTGGATGAAAATGGCACATCCCGTAATGACAGAAAAGGGAATCGTGATTTGGCATACATAAGACCTCACAGAGATGAATGTGGGCAGCTTCTTAAAAGGGCAGGCTCCAGAGCTGCGGAGAAAACGGCACCATCAAGCTAGTTTTCACACGAAAATCTACCCAATTCCTCTCAAGAGAGATGCACTTACATTCGCGGGCTCAGCGGTCCACAAGAACCACGGCCCCCTCGGAGTCCACTGTTTCAGAGAAGCAGTGGCGAACTGTAAGCTGCTAGTCATGCTGAAAGGAATCCTGGATTTCATTTTCCCCTTACCCAACAACCACGCGGCCCGCAAGGAAGGATGTTTGCACTTCTCTGGAGATTTCATTCTTCGTCTGTTCATCAAGGGTGATCCCTGCCGAGGGCACTCACCCTAACACCCTCTTTTAAACCAAAACACTTTGATTTAACACAATGGTTCTCAACCTGTGGGTCGCGACCCCTTTGGCGGTCGAACGACCCTTTCACAGGGGTCGCCTAAGGCCATCCTGCATATCAGATATTTACATTAAGATTCATAACAGTAGCAACATTACAGTTATGAAGTAGCAACAAAAATAATTTTATGGTTGGGTCACAACATGAGGAACTGTATTTAAAGGGCCAGAAGGTTGAGAACCACTGATTTAACAGGACATTATGTTGGCTCTATAAAATGAAACATTATTTTTTGTCATGGGTCTTTGGTATAGTTGTTAAAGTGCAACCTGCTGGAAACACCACTGATCAGACATACCAATTCTCTGAGATGCTGGTATCAGAAAGGTGAGAAGTGTTAGCTACCTGTCCACAAAAGAGAACCTCGCTTCAAAATGCGAGTAGCGAAAATGGCATTAGCCAGGCCCTCTCTTCTTAGTGTTACCGCAGTCCAATTACACAATTTATTACCTCTCTACCACACTAGGGAACAATCTAGCAACTATTATACTATTCAGCGGGCTTCTTTAATGGCATCAATAGCTACAAAATTCTTGAAAACTGAGTACTGTTCTAATGGGCTGAAAAAGAACTTACAGGAGGTTCTCCACTTAAGAAGGTGCCGAGTTTCAAAAGCGTGCGTATAAGCCCGATGTTGAAGATCATGCTGCCCAGGCTGGCCCAGCCAACTCCCAGTCTCCACACACCTATTTAAATGGGATGCACAGGCTCGCAGTCCCTGTTGTTTAGTTGCTGAAGGTGATGTGCAGTGTTGCTGCTCTGGTGCACTGAGCTCTGGGTTTTATTTAACTGGGGACACCCGGAGTGGAACTACTTTGCCCAGCTCCGGAGGGAGTGGGTGAGGGGCAACACTAGGATGAAGGGGGATGATGGAAAGAGCAGAGCGGGGTAGAATAACTTACTACCGACATACACCTGCATATAAGGCCTTCCTTTAGGTCTATTTCCCTTTAAATGTTCTGGACTGGGACCAGCGACAAAGTTCATTTAATAAACACAGAACACATGAGACAACCGTAGGACCAGAAAGATGAAAAAAGTCTGTGGTTGACCTGGAAGAGCTCAACCTGTGGTGAGGAGGGGCAGGTACCCAGCAAGCACTTCAACAGGAGCTACAAGGAGGATCTGAACAAGCACCCAGGAGCCCCGCTCAGCCGGCCTGGGAGAGGCTCCATAGAAGAGATGACATTTGAGCTCAGCCTGGCAGACATCTGGGATGTTGTCACCTGAGAGTCCCTGAGTCATCACCATCCCTTTATATACACGTTTATTCTTAAGGGAGGTATTTTAAGAAATAATCAGTGTGCACGAACGGAAAGTATCCCCAAAGTGCCCTACATTTTAACATAACTTTTTTTCACTTATTGACCGTTGTTATTGGTAGGAGGTGAAAACCAAGCATCAGTTTTAACAGGCTTCAGAGAATGAGCGGTATTTCACTCTAAAAAAGAAATTAAAATACTTGTTCCAGCAAATTATCTGTGAGCTCACTCTGAATTTCCTTTCATACCAGCCTAGCTCCAAAGAGATAGATTTATTTTACCTTACAGAAGACATGATTCTGAAAAGTTGGATGTAAAGAAATCTTGAGTATATTAAGACATTTAAAATCAACGAGGGAGCTCGGCCGGCATGGCTCAGTGGTTGAGGATCGACCTAGGAACCAAGAGGTCACGGTTCCATGCCCCGTCAGGGCACATGCCCGGGTTGCGGGCTCAATGATACTCTCTCATCATCCATGTTTCTGTGTCTCTCTCCCTCTCCTTTCCTCTCTGAAATCAATAAAAATATTTTTTTAAATAAAATAAAACCAACAAGGGAAACTGGTTAATCAAAAAAACCACAGCGGGTGTATTTCCATGAAATCAGAAATCTTTTAATAATATGAACACTTACCCTCAATTTCTTTTATTATATTTTTATCCAAAAAAAAAGCTTACATGCAGTTTCTGTAAAGTTGCACACTGGTAGTTGGTATCATAATGATGCTGCCTCTGAACACTTTCATTGAAGAAGGTTCATAAAAATCTCACGGAGCGTAAATAGTTGTAAGAAGTGGGGTAGCATCCTCTTTAACCATGAAGAGAGGGCCCCTAGGTTTACCCACTCCACTCCAAAGCTTCTATGGCGCTCACTGTGTCTCGGATTCTTCGGGGCTGCCCACCCGCTTTCCTGCAGCGTGCAAGCAGTCCCCAGACCTCAGCTGGGGCTTGTGAACAACGGCTGCCTCAGAAGGACAAAACCGAGAGGAAACCCGCTCCCAAACGGCCCTGGACCGCCCCTCCTCCTGCCCACCAGCCAGCCTCGACAGCCCTGTTCTGAGGCTGGGCCATGTGTGGGTTCTGCCCCATCCAGCTCGCCCAGCTGTGCCTCCCAGACCCCAGACGGGGGCCAAGCCGTCTCCTGACACTAACGGTGTTGGCCCTCACACAGAAGCACAGCCCTCGCCGTGGCTCCTGCTCCATCTTGGTGTTTCTGCTTGTGGGACGTCCCTTTGTAAAATCGAACCGGTGGATCCAATCCGATGCTCCGAGGGTTTGCTCTCGGTCCGATCATTTCCCAGGTTCCACTCGGCCGCCAGCAGGCTCTGCTCTGTCCCAGCGGCAGCTCCCGTTTCCCCGGAGGCCTCGGGGGGACGGCGCCCCGTCTTCTCCAGCTACAGGAAGGCGGAGTGGGTCTCCTGGAGGGTCTCCTCCAGCTTCAGGCCCAGGTTGTCGATGCCAATGCTGGTGCCGGGGGGCACGCTGCTCTCGGCCGGCTCCGCCGTGCGCGTGGGGGTGGAGCAGTACAGAATAAAGCCCACCATGATGACGGCGAAAGACAGGATGTAGAGCCCCGAAAACTAGGAGAAGAACAGCTGGAGGTTATGCTCCCGCACGCACACAGCTTTGCAGCTGCCGTTTGCCAAAACCCTCGTGTGTGTGTGTGTGTGTGTGCGCGAGTGTGTGTGTGAGAGTGTGTGAGTGTGTGTGAGGGTGTGTGTGAGAATGTGAGTGTGTGTGTGTGTGTGGGAGTGTGTGTGTGTGTGTGTGCGCGAGTGTGTGTGTGAGAGTGTGTGAGTGTGTGTGAGGGTGTGTGTGAGAATGTGAGTGTGTGTGTGTGTGTGGGAGTGTGTGTGTGTGTGTGTGCGCGAGTGTGTGTGTGAGAGTGTGTGAGTGTGTGTGAGGGTGTGTGTGAGAATGTGAGTGTGTGTGTGTGTGTGGGAGTGTGTGTGTGTGTGTGTGCGCGAGTGTGTGTGTGAGAGTGTGTGAGTGTGTGTGAGTGTGTGTGTGTGTGTGTGTTGGTAAATGCCGGGTCTCTGACATCGTCCCCTGGCAGATCAGCCACCTGGCTACCTACAGCTCTAGGAAATGGAACTTTTGCCTTTTTCTGTGGCAACCTAGCCGCACCCCACTGCACACCTAGTCCCACTTAATTAAGAGAATGAAAGGTGAGTGGATACGGTGAGAGAGCCCAATTCAGACCCAAGGCACAGCTTACAATATTGGTATGAAACAGAGGAGCACAGGGTCTCAGATAAAATGTGGGTGCACAGCCCTGGCACCATCCTGTATATCAAAAAAGGTTGTGGGTTCAATTCCCCGTCAAGGGCATGTACCTAGGTTGCAGGTTCGATCCCTGGTCCTGGGGGGTGCAAATGCGGGAGGCAACAAATCGATGTGTCTCTCTCACATTGATGTTTCTCTCTCTCCTTCTCTCTCTCCCCCACCTCCTTCCCTCCTTCCCACTCTCTCTAAAAATTCAATGGAAAAAATATCCTCGGGTGAAGATGAACAAAAATAAATTAATTAAATTGATAATAAGTACTCTGCATATTTGTTTTATTTTAATTAAGGATCCATACAAAAGTTCAAGTGTCAGGAAATTCGTATTTGTTTTTAACAGCATGAAAAATAAAACATAGAAAGAGAATAAGGAAAGACTGGCCAAGAAGGATGTAATAAAAATTAGGGAAACTATGCAGCATAATGAATGTGTAATTAAATGCCCAGGATCATGTTTTTTTTCTTTGGAACAAGCAAACACAATTTATAAGTGGCCCTGCTAACCTGATTGTAAATTAAAAATAGGGGGCGCTACTTTAGTCAAGCCAATTAATATTTTTAAATTAGCTTAGATTCCATAGTGTGACCAATAAAAACAGTTCTAATCGGGAAATAACAAAGAAAAACAATAACAAAACAGAGTGGGTTGGGAAAGGAGAAGAGAAAGATGAGAGAGAGAAGAAAAAGCAAGATACACTCTCAAAGGTAGAAGAAAAAACTAAATAGATTTTGGAATGAGTATTAGGTAGATTTCTGGTCATCTCCAGCTGGAGGCTTCCGTGGGTCACCATTGGCTCAAGGGTGATGCTCAATTACCTCTTAACCTTGAACCTTTAGAACTGCTTAAGGCAGTGATGGCGAACCTTTTGAGCTCGGGGTGTCAGCATTTTGAAAAACCCTAACTCTGGTGCCATGTCAGATATAGAAATTTTTTGATCTTTGCAACCATAGTAAACAAAGATTTATATTTTTGATATTTATTTTATATATCTAAATGCCATTTAACAAAGAAAAACCAAAACAATGAGTTTGCGTGTCACCTTTGACATGCGTGTCATAGGTTCGCCATCACTGATATAGACTCATGCATGGATATTCACTTTATTCTATTGGCTATAATCTGTTACTACTGTTACTTATTTTGTTGTTCAAGCT